GCACACATATTTGTTCAACATTTGTACTGCTTGTCTTTGAGTTCTGTACGAGTACTAGTAGATTAATGGGTGAACAGCATACATGCAGAAAGAGATGGAGCATATTAAAACGATATATGCAAATAAATGCAACAATTTTATTCATATAGTTGCCTTCATTTGACATGGTATTAAATTCCAAAAAATTAAAATATTAATATTACGCATGTACATGGTCTTTTACATAAACCTGGATTGAACATGAACATTGTTTTCTTGATTTCAATCTTTATCTACTAAGATGAAACATTGTAGCATGGAAAAAATATATTGTGGTCAGTTAAATTATCAGATGCTAAAAGTGTATGCAAATTCAAGTAGATAGGCAGAGTGTCTACAGTCAGGTGGGTTTAAATTACAATACTTTTCAATAAAAATCTACATGTCTCTTTAAATCGCAATTCTCAAAACTGAAGATAATATATGAAACAAACAAATGTAAACAATATGTGTGATTGTAAAGTGATGAATGCCAATGGTTATTTTATGAAAAACAGTGTATTTTGATTAAACTGTAAAAAAAAGTGCTCATATCATTTACAATTCAATATCAACATAAACAAATGTATGCACCTCAAATCCTAATACAAATGTTGGTTTTCAGGGTTTTTTCTAGAAAAAATGAACAAGAGAGAGCACACACTGGCGAGAGATCGGAGCGACCAAGAGGGTGGGGGGTAATGTGTCGAAGGGCGGATTGACCTGGAAACGCCATATCAGAAGGTTTTAAGTGCCATTGAAATATTTTTGGAGTAATTTTAGTGTATTTGGTGTCCAGACACATTGTCAGTTGGTGTTGCTGGGAAGTTTTCATGGAGAAAAATATATTTGAGAAAGATTTCATCTTGTATGGCAGCACAGAAATGTGTGGCTCAAGAAATATATTTATGACTTGAAAGTTCAATTGGTAAAAGGGTGCCAGCCGAGAATATCAGGGCGCTACTGTTCCCCCGTTTAGAAAAAACCCTGGGTTTTGATTACAATGCAACTCTGATGTAAAATTCAGAATTTGGCTACAGTTTAGAAAAAGGTGGTTTATTCAGATGAGCATGGCATTTTTTTAAAGTTATAGTATCTTCTTCCAACAAAACAATCAGCTTTATATATATATATGTTATATATAGATGAAACCATATACTGTAGCAAAACATCACACTTGTTAAAAAGAATCGATATTTGCAATTTTATAAACTCTCACATGAACAAGTCATTGTCAATGACACCTCCCCGTTCCGTTCATATTTGAGTGACATATACATTCAAAGCAGATCATGACCGAAATGCACCTGCATATGTACAACACATTGTGCTAAATCTGAACAAAATCCATCCATGCATGACTGAGGATCGGTTCTGGAATTGTGAAAATACGTGATTTTGATGCATTTTCGGCCTTAAAATGGCCATCATTCCGCTATTGTTCAGCAGATCATGAAACAAATGCACATATCTATTTGTGACATGATGTACCATGTGTGTGTGAAGTTTGAACTTGATCAATCCAGACATGTCTTGGATACGAATCCAGAACTGAATTCTTTAACAAAATGGCCGCCAGTCGGCCATTTCGAACTTGATCCGAAAAAAAAAAGACGTGCATCAAGGTCCTATTATGTTTAATGTATGTACCAAATTTGAACAAAATCCATCGATGCATAACTGAGATACGGGTCCGGAATGGTGAAAATGTGCGATTTCAATGCATTTTCGGCCTTAAAGCGGCCCCCATTTGGCTATCGTTAATGAGATCATGAAACAAATGCACATACATATTTGTGACATGATGCATCTTGTGTGTGTGAAGTTTGAACTTGATCAATCCAGACATGTCTCGGATACGGATCCAGAACTGAATTCTTTAAAACAAAATGGCCGCCAGTCGGCTATTTCGAACTTGATCCGAAAAAAAAAATGACGTGCATCAAGGTCCTATTATGTTTAATGTATGTACCAAATTTGAATGAAATCCGTCCATGCATAACTGAGATCCGGGTCCGGAATGGTGAAAATGTGCGATTTCAATGCATTTTCGGCCTTAAAGCGGCCGCCATTTGGCTATCGTTAATGAGATCATGAAACAAATGCACATACATATTTGTGACATGATGTACCTA